CGCAATATTTGAGGTCCTATCAAATGAAAACTTGAAATCTGGAATCTCAATTTCACCAGAATCATACTCTGTAAAAGCTTTTAATGGATAAGTTCAATGGGTGAACTTTTCATATGAAACCAAAATGTGCTTTTCATTGGTTAAAGTACTGAACTTTCATGCATATTCACCGGCCTTCTGGTTTTGCATGAAACAAAACAACTAGAACAAGTTGCATAATGTCTTTTTCTTCAGTTATTCATCTTTCCTGTGTTATTTCCTGTTGTTTGGACTCTTCATATTTCCTTCAGTATTCATGTCCACAGCATATGTCCGATATGATATGATGGCATGTGATTTTCTCCAAATATACAAAAGATTTTTTTTAATAAAAAAATAGAAGAATTATACTCGGGACACTCACTCAAGCCTAGAAAACAAGTATGCAGGGACATTATGGAAGTCAACAGAGGTAGTGTTGGTATTTATGTAGGTCTATCTGGTAGCCATCCTTTCCATATTAATAACATTTTCTAAAAAAAAATAAAAATAAAATTAAAATTAAAAATAAAAATAAAAACAAAAACAAAAACCTCCAGCTGGATTGATAAAGACTAGATCTTGGTAGATGTGGCACTACCATTTTCCAGTCCTTGTGTAACTTAGCCTCTTGCCTTTTTAGGCGTAATGAGATTATTGGTGGAAACTATGTATGGGGCATGTTTCTATCAGAATATCACATCCCCCTACCTTTTTTTAAACAGGATTTAAGGATAGGTGGTATAGAAAGAATTATATATTGACAATCTGGTCTATCTATTTGTTTGAAGATGACTGTCATTTTCTTGCAAAATCTGACAATAAGTCGACTTCAAATCCAACTTGTTTCCTAAGAAAACTCAAAATTTGATCCTTAAACCCTCTTGCATAGCCATTCTCACAACTTGAAAGTGAGATAAAATTTGATCCAAACTTACTGTAGATTGGTGAACCTTTGAGAACTGTCACACGTTATGTTAACATAATCGTTAACCATTTGCTTATCTCATCATAGATTTAATCTCGAAATCTCCATATTTGAAAATTCATTAAATTAATTGTTATTTTTCCCAATAAATGTGTCATTTTTATGTTTTTAAATCGTCCTACTCAAGTTATCACTTCGAAAATTCAACAGTTATTGAATGTTGTAGTCCTTTTTCTATTTATTTTAGTTTTCCACCAAAAACAAAATTTTAAATCTCAAGAATTGAATTGTTGAATAACACACAAATCCAGCAAACCAATGCGTTTCTCTTACTGACTTTGTCCCTTGGTAAGTGAGTAAGAGAAAGCATTGATTGAATACACATCAAAACTCCATCTACGAATTATCATTTGCTGAGCTTCTTTTGCCACGTGACCATCAAAGTCCATTCTTTTCTCTCTCGAAATTCCCATTATTGTTGAATACTCAAGTTATTGACTGTTGAATAACACATCAAAGTCCAATCAAAGTTCCTAGTAATGCAGGAATTATCTGTGAGCTTCTTTTGCCACGTGCCCATTCTTCAAGTCCGTATTTCAGATTATTATAAAATAGTATTTATTTTAAATACTTTTAATCATTGATAAAATAATATCTGCTGTGTCTCGGTCCCAAAGAGTCGCACTCGAGTTCTGTCTCTGTCCATGACTCGAAACTTCACCTAAACCTTTAACCGTATTAGTAAGTCCAGCAGAAGTAGCTGTCTATAAGACTAGGACATAACAATGGACGTTTTTGTTCTTTAAACATTTTTAGCCCGATCTCGATTGTCTCATTGTTTATGCTCACTTTCACCTCCATACATACATACATATGTATATATATATATATATATATATCTGTACAATTTTAAACGAAGGTGAAAATCCTGGGTTGCTGTTGAACTTCTTTAAAGGTAGTAATTAGCATTGACTTGAAGGAAATTAGGATCATTTCAACTTTAGATTAATAAAATTGCTCGGATAATTTATATGAAAATATATCCTAAGACCATAAATAATTTAATGAAATTAGGTTAGGGTTATTTTCATATTATTGTTTCATGATATATATATTACCCTTGATAAATCAAATTTATACCAAGTTTTGGTTGGTACCAAAATGTTATACTAGTTGGTAATAGTAGTTGAAACAATCAATATGGACTCACTTGGGGTTGCTACCAAGAGTATTGTTCTATTGTGAGTTCAGTAAATAAGGGAGTAAACATTTCAGGTCCAATTACTATTTAATAATAGAACTTTTGTTTTTATTAAATTATATATACACACATACTACTTATAGTTATTAAAATGAGTTGATGGGGGAAGAGAAATCATAGTTAGATTCCTAAATAATTATATGAAAGGTTGTATAGGTTATAAATTAAATTAGGTTTTAGATGTTTAGTAGCAGAATTAAAGGCAGTGGGGAAGCTTAAATCATTAAAGAGATTTATTGTGGTCCTACTCTCCTACCCACATAATATAGAGAAAATAATTTCAGTGACTGAAAATGACTTATAATATACGATTTTAACCAATTTTTTTTGGATTTACAAAAATGACCAACAAATTCGCAACGTGAACTCCAATTTCGCAACATAGGTTCCAAAATCGCAACGCGAATAGGAAAATCGCAACGTAATTTTTAAATTCACAACGCTAATTACCGATATAGGTAAATAATACTATCACAACGCGAATAGGAAAATCGCAACACTAATTACCAATATAGGTAAACAGTACTATCGCAACACGAATAGGAAAATCGCAACGCTAATTACCGATATAGGTAAACAGTACTATCGCAACGCGATTTTCAAAGTCGCAACGCTAATTACCTACATAGGTAAACACTACTATCGCAACGCGATTTTTAAATTCGTAATGTTATTTTCACAAATTGAATTCGCCAATTTCACAACTCAATTACCGATATAGGTAAAACGATATAAAAAATCCGGTAAAAAAATTCGAATTCAACAATTTGAAAACTGAGTTACGAATTTGGTAAATGAATTGAACAAACACGAACGAGGATATGTTCATGTTCGTTCATTTAACTTTAACCAAACAAACGAACTGTCGAAATGATTTTTTCTTTAAGAGGCGAGATTTTACATTTCGCAATACGAATTTATCAAATTCGCAACTCAATTTTCAAACGTTGCGATAGTACTGTTTACCTATATCGGTAATTAGCGTAGCGAATTTGAAAATCGCTTTGCGGTTTTACTATTCGCGTTGCGATTTTCCTATTCTCGTTGCGATAGTACTGTTTACCTATATCGGTAATTAGCGTTGCGAATTTGAAAATCGCGTTGCGATTTTGGAACTTGTGTTGCGAATTTATTGGTCATTTTCGCAAATCCAAAAAAAATTAATTAGAATCATATATTATAAGGTATTTTCGATCACTGAAGTTATTTTCTCCCTAATATATAGTTGTTTTTGTCAAGATTAATAGATCCATTTTCCACTTTCCCACCGTGAGGACATATATAATTTTTATTTTAAAAATGAATTATAAAATTTTAAGAAGATAAATTTATAAAAGTTTAGAAATAAAAATCTATTATATAAAAAATATATATATAAAAATTTGAAATTTTCAGAAGTAAGGGATGACTTACCTGATCACCCCTTCGGTCCATTCTTGTCTCCGCGTGTAATCTGTTTGAGACATAAACAGAAGCCATAGCATTGCCTTCTCATAAACCGCTTCTTGAAGGTCGCTTCTTTCTTCGTAAACCTGCAGGCCAATCCATTAAGGGTATGTTTGTTTTCCGTAATTGGAATTACATAATTAGTTTTTTCTGAATTCTCGTGTTTGTTTCACGTAATTCGTTTTTCGGAAAATGTTTTCTCGTGTTTGTTTTACGTAATTCGTTTTCCGGAAAACGTTTTCCCGTGTTTGTTTCACGTAATTCGTTTTCCGGAATGTAATTCATTTTCCTAGTAACAGAATTTCCTTTGTGTTTTCTGTAAAATGACTTACGGATTCGTTTTTCGTAAGTCATTTTCCGAACTTTTCACTTCAAAGCAAAAATACTCAAAATAATTTAATTTTATGAATTTAATATTAATAAAATATTTTAATATCATTTTCATCAAAATATATTAAATAAAATATAATAATAAATAAAAATTTATTTTTAATATTATATAAAATAATTAATTATATAAATAATATAAGATATATTTTTATTTAATATATATATAAATTTTTTATATTTAATAATGAATAATATTATTTATATATTTCAATAATATTTTAGTAAAGATATTAAAATATACTAATTAATATTTTTAAAATATAATATAGTACTATTACTTTAATAAATAATTAATATAATTAATAAAAATTTATTTCACTAAAATATACCGAAAAAATGTTTAAATAACATCTTCCAAACATCATAAAACGTTTTCCAGATGTTTTCCAGAAATGTAATTCATTTTCCAGAAATGTAATTCATTTTCCAGAATTCAAATTCCAGTAATTCATTTTCCAGTAATTCAAATTCCAGTAATTCAAATTTCAGTAATTCATTTTCTGGAAAACCAATTACAACTAAACAAACAGACCCTAAATTGCATTAACTCTTCCACTCAAGTCTCTTTGCCTTGGGTTTGAGCACAAAGGTGTAACAGCATTAATTATTAATTGGTTGAGAATTGTTTAAATATATATTACTTGTATTTATTCTATACTAATAAAAAACATCTCCCAGTGTCGTATATATTAATATTTCAACCTGAGATTCGCTGAATCCATATTCTTAACGAGTCAGTGTCGTATGAGTACGGGTCACATACTCACATGGTTGCATGAATGAACCGATCAGCACGATCTGTATCTGCTTCTCAATTCCAACTACCTTTCAAAGCACAAGAATCTTTAACCAGAATCATGTAATAAAGGCCAAATCCTTTTGCATTTTACTTTTTCTTGTTTGATAATCTTAAAAATTAGAGGAAAACACACACATACAAATCACACGATCATATATGATTATATCAAACACCTCATCTCACATGACAATAACAAAAAAATGATCCAATATTCACACAATTGTGTTTATTCTTCCTCTACCTGCAGCCTCAACTGAGCTCTGTCAGCATTGTTAGCATCAACAAATGCCCTTAAAAAAGATAATCAGCAAAAAGCTGTCATCTTAGGCCATGGATTCAACATTTTCCCGGAAAACTTTTAACATATCAGAAAATGTGACAATCCCAACCAAGCTACAATCATCCTCTATCACCCAAACATAGTTCACCCTATGAGCAATGGCTTGGATCATGACTGCAACAAATGAGCTCTTGGGGTGGCAAACAATTGCCTCGGATCTTCTCACCATCCTGGCTGAATAACTCATCGACCTGCTCAGCCTCCGGGGCCTCGGCATCGACGAAACCGGAGCCGCCATCGAGTATTCCTCATCGGAAGAGGAAGATGCAGATGAGAACCCACCACTAGACATTGAAAAAGTGAAATGTTGAAGCATCCCATTCAGGTTTTCCTCCTTTAGCTTTGCGGAAACCACCTTGACAAGGTCTTCCGGGGGGCCTCCACAGTCGATGTAAGCCATTAGATCCCCGGATGACAAGGTCTTGACCGCCGCCGCCACCGTCTCATCACAGCAGGCCAAGGTGAAGGGTGAAATCTCGCCGATCAAGGCTCCCTGGCTGTCGACAACTGCCACCGAGGTTTGCTCCACAAGAGCTCGAGAGATGGCTCCAATGGCGGCTGAGGCAGGCGAGTGGTACTCGCTGGTGATGGTGTTAGGGCTTATTATGTTAAGGGTGTCGATGGATAAAGCAGGGATCGGTGAAAACAGACCGATGGAGCTCAGTAGGAATCTGATGACATCTTCTTGAGTTAGCCAGCAAAATTCACGGCCTTTGTGGTTAGTGACCGTAACCGAAGGCTTTTGCTGCTGTTTTGATCTCTTGTTGCTCAGCTTCGTTCTGATTGGCACCACAAGGTTCTGTGCTCCTTCAAGTATAAGATCAATTGCTTCCAACAAGCTGGAAAAGAAATTCAAAATCCAAAATTTATGATCAATTACTTTAAATTCTAGCATAAACAAGATGATGGCACATGATTTTGCAGTCTGACAACAAACTCAAACTTTTATCTTATGTTTGAAAAATCCAAATATCTAAAAAATCCCAGAGATTATGTGTACCTGCAAGACGGTTCCACATGCAAAACAAGGCCAGGAATCTTAGGCAAAAGCACAGAAACAGGATTCTTCAAAGCAACCGGAGGCGACACCAAATTTTCATCTCTGCAGAGAAAACAAATGACATCCACGATGCAAATTTTGCCAACACATCGACACTCATCATCAAAATCATCAACTGGTTCAAAGCCTGGAGTGGTTTTGGGCTTATGGTCACAGCTCCAGACGCTAACGAAAATATCATCAGAGGTTTTCAAGACCTCGAGTGCCTGGGCAATGGTGGATGTTACAGAAAGTGACCTCAGAGCTGGCTTCCCAAGACACAGGTCAGACAACTCATGTGACAATAACCTCACTGCCATGCAAAAGCTATGGAAATTTGAGTGACAAAAATGGGTTTCCCTTTTTTTTTTAATCTTCTTTCTGATGATTTCTTAAAAGATGGATGTTGAAACCGGAGATTTTGGGGGGCTATATATAAGAGAGGTGATGGTGTTGTTTGGAAAATGCATAAAGCCGTGTAAACCCCCCAACCAACCCTCACCCAAAAAAATCATTTATCCGAATAGTAACCCCAAACATTATTAATTGAAAAAAATAATTTTAAACCGCACACGTAATACTATCTCACGTCCTACGAAACATGTATTAAGGTTTCACGTGTTATAAGGTGAGAGACTCCTCTAAATAAAATCACTTTTCAAAGAATACAATTTAATATTTCAAAAAAAGACATCGTGTTTTGCATAATGCGAGGTTTTTGAGATATTGAAACGTTTCAACAATTTATTGCTTGTGGTATTTACAATTATAGTGTTCTGTAGGATAAGAGTTATATAGATTTCCAGCCAAATCACAGGTGTTCATAGGCACGTTTGAGAGGTATTTTCAAGTAGTTAATTTAATTTTTTTCGTAATTTATAAGATTAGAGGCGTAGTATTGAAATTTATCTTTCATTTGAGACCAATATCGACACATACGAGATATTGTAAGCGGGTTAAAAATCGCGTTGAAAATGGTTCCAAAGCTTGTTTTGCGCATGAAGAAAAAGCTAAAATGGTTTGATAGGCATATTCGAGGGGTATTTTCCAGTAGTTAATCTAATTTTTTATAATTTATAAATTAGAGTCGTAGTATTGTAACTTATCTTTCAATTGAGGATAATATCATCACATACGAGATATTGTAAGTGGAATAAAAATCGCGTTCAAAATGGTTCCAAAGCTTGGTTTTGTGCATGAAGAATAAGCTAAAATGGCTTAATAGACATGTTTGGGAAGCATGTTTGGGAAGTTAATCTAATTTTTTTGTAATTTATAAGATTGGAGGCGTAGTACTAGTACTTATGTTTCAATCGAGGCTAGTATCGACACATACGAGACATTCTAAGTGGTGCAAATATCGCGTTAAAAATGGTCCGAAACAAATTTTTTTTGAAAATTAACAAATATATTTTATTAATTACAAAAGTAGTACAATAAAAAAGCACAATAAGTTTGATGAAACGAGAAATCTCCCGAGATGTTTCTCAAATTTTATGTACGAGGGAAACCCTAGGTTCTCATGTAATACCCCAAATATTAGGCTAGTGACTATATTGAAAGGATTTAAAATTTGAGGATTAAATTGAATAAATGGTAAAGTATAAGAAAATGATTTAGAAATTTTGTTTAAGACCAATTAGTAAGAATGAAAGAATGAAAGGGGTATTTTGGCCCTTTAAAGGGAAATGAATTTAAAATTCATTTTAATTAGGGTATTAAAGTAAGGGGAAAGTGAAAAATACACAAAGCTATCTTCTCTTCTTCTTTCCCGTGTAAGTGCTCTCCTCCATAGCCAAAGGTAAGGATTCATCTAGCTAGCTTTTCCTTTCGTTTTTGGATTGTTATTGAAACCTTGAGTGTTATAGATGCTTAAGGAATGGTTAAATAGGATTAAAACTAAGAGATGGGTAAATTATTTGAGATTGAAGAAAAATGGGGTTTTGAATGATATGTTGAAATATGAGTTTTTATTGAGGTTTACTAGTATAATTGACTTGTCAAAGAAGTAAATAAGAGATTAGAAGTCTTGGATGTGATTAAAAACATGTATGAAAAAGTAGTAAGATTCTTGGTTTGGGATGTTCTTTAGAAAAATTAGATGTTATGAGAAGCTAAATGGAGGAAAATTAGTTGAGTTAAGTGATCTTAAGTTTAAGGGTATTGTTTAAGGTAAAAGTAAGAGAATTTGATGAAATTTGGGTAAAAATCGAGTTGAAAAATAGAAAATCTGGGTTAGGGTATCGGTACTGGAAGAATAGTATCGATACTATAGGTTTAAATTTGAGGAATTACGATGAACAATATCGATACTGATGAAATTAGTATCGATACTAAGAGAAAGGTATTGATAACATGGATTCCAGAATGCATAAATAGTATCGATACTGAAAGGGAGTATCAATACCATAGTATAAAAGTATCGATACCATGGTAGGGTACCGATACTATTGAGCCTGAAATTCTAAGATATACTGAAATTGTAATAGAAATTGAAATAATAGTACTTTTGAGTATTATTAAAGTATAAATGTTAGGTAATATACTAACATTGGTATGTTATGTGTCTTTAATGGATGCTTTGTAGATCATAACCAAGCTCCTGAGTCTAGCAAGAAAAAGGGCAAATATAAAGTTGTTGAATAGCCGGAAATCATTACAGCTTATTAGTGAAGCTTATCAGGTGAGTAAATTTATTGTATTTATATGAGATGAGGAAGACTCGCAATGAGTAAACTTAGAATATTTTGATTTAATGTATGTTTTATAGTATTTAATATACTTTAATTATGTGTATGGAAAGGAGACTATGAATAAGTTTTAGAGTATGAACTGCTCTAAAATGAATAAACAAATGAAAATGCATAACGGTCATTATCGGCATGAAAGGATGCCATAAATGAAAATGCATAACGGTGAAAGTTATCCAGGATAATCTAAAGATAGCCTTTGATTGACAAAAGTCTTATGTGGATTTGAAAAGAAAAGAAATTAAATTTCAAGTGGTAGACAAGGTATTTCTGAAAGTGTTGTCTTGGAATAAAGTATTACGATTTAGACGCAAAGGAAAGATGGGTCTGAGATTCATTGGACCTTATGAGATTTTGAAATGGGTTAGACCAATAGCTTCTTAGCTAGTTTTGCCTCCGGATATGGATAAGATCCACAATGCCTTTCATGTGTCAATGCTCAGAAGGTACCCATCAGATCTATCCTATATTATCACACCAGAGGAGATAGAGATCTGACCAGATCTGACGTATGATAAAGAACCAGTGCGGATCTTGGCTTGAGAAAGTCTGCATAAAAAGAAGATTCCTCTAGTTAAATTACTTTGGCAAAACCATAAGGTAGAAGAAGATACTTGGGCAAAAGAGGAAGACATGAGGAAGAAGTTTCCATACCTCTTCTTATCAGGTACTTCTTTAAATTCGAGGATGAATTTTCTTAAGGGGAGAATTGTAATACCCCAAATATTAGGTCAGTGACTATATTGAAAGGATTTAAAATTTGAGGATTAAATTGAATAAATGGTAAAGTATAAGAAAATGATTTAGAAATTTTGTTTAAGATCAATTAGTAAGAATGGAAGAATGAAAGGGGTATTTTGGCCCTTTAAAGGGAAATGAATTTAAAATTTATTTTAATTAGGGTATTAAAGTAAGGGGGAAAAGGGAAAGTGAAAAATACACTAAGCTATCTTCTCTTCTTGTTTCCCGTGTAAATGCTCTCCTCCATTACCAAAGGTAAGACTTTATCTAACTATCTTTTCCTTTCGTTTTTGGATTGTTCTTGAAACCTTGAGTGTTATAGAGACTTAATAAATGGTTAAATAGGATTAAAACTAAGAGATGGATAAATTATTTGAGATTGAAGAAAATGGGTTTTTGAATGATATGTTGAAATATGAGTTTTTTTATTGAGGTTTACTAGTATAATTGACTTGTCAAATAAGTAAATAAGAGATTAGAAGTCTTAGATGTGATTAAAAACATGTATGAAAAAGTAGTAAGATTCTTGGTTTGGGATGTTCTTTGGAGAAATTAGATGTTATGAAAAGCTAAATGGAGGAAAAATAGTTGGGTTAAGTGATGTTAATTTTAAGGGTATTTTTTGAGGTAAAATTAAGGGAATTTGATGAAATTTGGGTAAAAATTGAGCTGAAAATGGAAAATTTGGGTTAGGGTATCGGTATGGAAGAATATTATCGATACTATAGGTTCAAATTTGAAGAATTGCAATGAACAGTATCGATACTGATGCAATTATTATCGATACTAAGAGAAAGGTATCGATACTATAGGTTTAAATTTGAAGAATTGCAATGAAAAATATCGATACTGATGCAATTAGTATCGATACTAAGAGAAAGGTATCGATACCATGGATTCCAGAATGCATAAATGGTATCAATACTGAAAGGGAGTATCGGTACCATAGTATAGAAGTATCGATACCATGGTAGTGGTACCGATACTATTGAGCCTGGAATTCTAAGATAGGTTGAAATTGTAATAGAAATTGAAAATAATAGTACTTTTGAGTATTATTAATGTATAAATGTTATGTAATATACTAACATTGGTATGGTATGTGTCTTTAATGGATGCTTGTGTAGATCATAACCAAGCTCCTGAGTCTAGCAAGAAAAAGAGCAAAGATAAAGTTGTTGAATAGCTAGACATCATTACATCTTTTTAGCGAGGCTTATCAGGTGAGTACATTTATTATATTTATATAAGATGAGGAAGACTCGCAATGAGTCAACTTAAAATGTTTTGATTTAATGTATGTTTTATGTTATTTAATATGCTTTCATTATGTGTATGGAAAGGATATTATGAATAAGTTTTAGAGTATGAACTGCTATAAAATGAATGAACAAATGAAAATGCATAATGGTGCATTATCGCATGAAAGGATGCCATAAATGAAAATGCATAACAGTGCATTATCGACATGAAAGAATGCCATAAATGAAAATGCATAACGGTGCATTATCGGCATGAAAGGATGCCACAAATGAAAATGCATAACGGTGCATTATCGACATGAAAGGATGCCATAAATAAAAATGCATAACGGTGCATTATCGTCATGAAAGGATGCCATAAATGAAAATGCATAACGGTGCATTATCGACATGAAAGGATGCCACAAATGAAATGCTTAACGGTGCAGTAACGACATAAAAGGTGTCACTCATGGTATTTATAAAAGATAAATGACCATTTTGGCACTTCGGTGCAATACATGTACATTACTTTCTCATTTAACATATATAGGGAAAATAAAGAATAATTGGGAAAAATATACAAAAAGATAGGATTGTTGGGCATACTAATAATAATTTCAATGATTGTATGAAAGAAATTTGATTTAAATGAGATGGATTTATCTGATTCT